CCTAAGTACGGAGGACCCGGGGCTCTGCCGGTCTCAGCCCCGGCCCGTCCGCCCGGCCTCCGTCCATGAAAAACACCAAAGTAACTACTGAAATAAAAAATATAAGTTTATTAGGAAGGGCGTGTTCGGTTCCCCCGCAGTGTGAGATGGAACAAGGCCGGGATGGAGGGAGGCCCCAGCTGAGGGGCCCGAGGCCTCGGCTCTCTCCTCACTCAGGCTGGGCTCCCCTAAACCCCCTTAGAGAGCTACAGACCAGCAGGAAGGTGGAGGCAGGGATGGGGTTTTTTTCTTCTTTGTATTTTCCACGGAAGAGGCTGCAGAGCTACCCACCACAGCAGCGTGAGCAGCGACAGCATTGTTACAGACTGGCAATTCCTGTGGGAGTGCTTGAAAGCTGGAGAGGAACAGCAGCAGATTGCTCCCACAGAACAGGGTCTTAATTATCACTCTTAAGGTTTGCCAACAGCCATCGAAATTGAAGACACCACAGACCAGGTTTCCTTTGGGTTACATCCTTTGTATATTCAGTTTGGGGAACATGGAGTAAAAAAGCAACGCCAGGTAGACTTCACACTTCCAGCTGCCCAGCCCACCAATGCTCGAGCAGAGCAGATGGCTTTCAGAACCATTTGAATACAGGGAATTTCTGTGAGCCAAAGTAGCCAGCACCTGCAGGTAGAGACTAACAAGCTGCAGCCCTGCTCCATCCCACCCCTCACAGGCAGTGGCAGGAAAACCAAGAGGGGAACCAGCTGCAATGCAGATACTCACTCATGTGATTCCCAGAGGCAAATAAGCCATTGTAGGGAGAGCTGAAGGGGAAAACAAGCCCAGAGAGACAAAACTACGTCCCTGGAAGTGTTGGTACTGATCTGTGAGGGAGCCAAAGTGACTTGGGTGGCTGCTGGAAACACTTTGTATTACAGACCTGCCTGTGATCTGCCTTTTTAAATTCACCCCTTTCCAACTTTATTCCCCCTTGAAGCTGGCAGATTGGCAGAAAACTTTAAGGACACTAGCCTGGCGAAAAATACCACAGAAGGAATTCCTATACAGGAGTAAATTTAATAAAACCACCACCAATTGTTTACTTTAACATAGCTCTTGTTACAGAAATCATAAAAATGGACTCAGTAGCTAACTTATTAGTTCTTTCCCCTTTTAACTGAAAAATACCCCACTGATTTCAACTTCTACTGCACTAGATGGAGTGTTAAATATTTGCCAGGACAGTATGCCCAGTAACTGAGCCCAAAACAAACACAAAGACAATTCCATCATCTTTCCTTTTCAATGTTACGACTTGTTATAATGTAAGTGAAACTTAAACAGCAAGGAACGGTCCATTTGACAGATGAAAGGGGGAGGGAGGAGATCCACAGCTGAAATCTTGCCATAAGTCTTTTGAGAAGTGGTGTAAAATACCCCTCTCCTTTTCCTGCCTCAGAAGTAAAAATAAAACTAAATAAACACACACACACCCCCACACACCCCTCCTCTGGGTTCAGAGCGCATGTCCTGTGTACATGGATGGGAACAGCAGAGTTGGATTTGGGCAGTTATCAATCCAGGGCCAAAAAAAAAATACTAAAAAAAGGCAAAGCATCCTGAATCACAGTGTGCACTGGTCACTAAGGCAATGCACACGGGGTTACGGAGCATCAGGAGCTGCGTGTGAGGGGACGGGTCTGTCGCCAGCAATGGATACACACACAAACCGTGGAGGCCATGGATGTAAAAGAACACTGCAGGAAGAGGAGAAACCCAACTTCTCTGGTAAAAGCCTTCAAAAAAAAAAAAAAAAATTAATTCACTACACCAGCACACGTTTCCCCCACCCCATCCCAGGGAAAACAAAACAAAACAAAAAAATCAAACTGAAAGAAAATGCACAGCAAATAGACATAATCTTGAAGATTTTTAAAGAATAAATATTTTTTTGTAATTAAACATTATGCAAACACGTGCCACGCTTGCTCTTTGTCCATGCATATGCGCTATATACAACTTTGAAAAATACTGTGTTGTCCTCTTTTTGTTTTAAAAGTCATATACAAAGGGTTTTTTTTTTTCCTTGCTGTGTAGCCCCCCTCCTCCCCTCCCCAAGAATCATCTTTACAATGAGCCAATCGACATTCATCCGTGTACCTGGGTGTCAGAGAGGAGGAGGGGGGTGGGAGAGCCATCCCCCCCTTACCAAAGTACATCAAAATGGCTGGTTTGGACATGAAAAGCAGTGTCAAGAAACTGGTTTAAATTTTATCTGTACTACACACAGGAAAAGAAAGATAGAAAAGAAAAAGGAGTTGGCTTGGAGAATGAAGCTACGTTACAAGTTAAAGTTGGAGGGTTTTTTTTTTTAGTGCGTCTGTCACACTTATTGGCCGCCTAGAATACTGTTGTACAATGGTTTATCTACCTTTGTTTTTGTTTTTTTTTTTATTACAATATAATTTACTTAAATTTTCTGTTAACAAAACAGAATCCCGGTACTACAGACCAGCGGTGTAACAGGCGTAGGTAGCGCCTGTGTGTGTTTGATTTGAATCGCATGAGCACTCTAGATGGTAAAGGTTTCAGAGTTCGTTTAATGCGGGGCCAGTCTCAGTCCTCAATGTACTCCCACAGGTCCTTCTCGTAGCCTTCATGCACGTGCTGCAACAAAACCCTTCGTCGACTCTCGCAGTATCTGCACCAAAGAGGAACAGCACAGAAAAAGCAGGTTAGGAACCACAGAGCTCATCCCCAGCACCACACAACACAAACCTACATTAAGCCTCACTTCCGAAAGAGGAGATCCCCCGAGAAGGGACTTTGTAGCCTGTTAACAGCTCTAATTAAGACTTCAGTTACTCCAGTCACTCAACTCCAGGTCCTGGCTGAAAAAACACCATGCAAATTTAGAGTTTCCCATGCAAAAGTATCCCCAAAGCCCCTACAGCTGAGAAACCTCCATTAATAACTGAAAAAGGAAGAAGCAGCAGCTACAGTTTGCAAAAGCCAGAGCACGGGTCAGCAGTGACACCCGAAATGGGATGGAGGTCTCCTCAAAACACAGGCTGGTGCCTACTCTGAGCCGTATCAGGACAACAAAAATCCAGGCGCTAGCTGGGCAAAGCCTCAGGAGTGCTGACCCAGTTTTATTCCCCTCCAAAAGCCCAGTGGAGATAGAAGCGGTCACGCTGGCTACAAGAATGGGTTAGTGGTCTGGTTGGAGTGCAAGTTTTATATTGCATTGCAACTCCTAGGTCTCAGAGGGGCACTATGCCCTGCAGAATCTTCCCACCTACACTCATTTAAACAGACAAAGCTGCAAATAAAACTGATCCCAGAGTTAGGCACAGTCCTACCAGGATTAATGATACTGAGGAAAAGTGATATCATAGGAACATATCAAATGATGCCATGTTCATTTCGGGTGCGTTACCCAACTAAAAAGATAAAAAGTAGAGAAACATTTAAAGTATTCAGGTTCCAAGAGCAAATTATAAATAAGCAGCAGGCATTTCTGGATTAAACCCCTTCCAGCGGCGATGATGAAGTCTACATCATCTTTAGGCACAGGAGGGACAAGCCTAAGAGCTCCCAAGGCGCCAGGTGCAGCTGTGCAGCCAGTCCATGGTTCAGCAGCACCCAGCCTGCAGTGGTGCGCTGTAACATGAGAAACAGGAACCCGGGAGCTGACTGCTGAGTTACTGGTTCCTGCTGTGATTTCTGCGGTTCAGTTTCCAGGCACGTGCATCAGCCAGGACGGCATCCGAGGGGCTCTGGCAGCTGGGAACCTGGCTTGCTCAGCAGTGGCCAAACATCCCTCTGCTCGCTAAAGCGAGGTGCACAGGAGGAGTGTCCCAGCAGGAGGCCCGAGCAGAAAGCTACCCTGGATCACAAGGCATGCCAACATGTAGGCAGAAACTCCTCACCTTAACCCGCAGCCCTTATGCTGCTACCACTCAGTGTCTGATCAGACCAACAGATTTATCTGAATAAAACTGTTCTGGCTCTTCTCATTCCTATCAGCTGTTGCAACAGAAATCATCGTACACAAAGTCCCATTGATTCTCTGAAGCATGTGATAGCAAACATTCACAGTTCCTGCTTTTCCAACTTCAGTTATTTTGCTGGTGGTGGGGGGGGTTTAATCCTGTTTTCTAGAAATGTCTTTTCAAATTAAGAGATCAAACCAGCTGAAACCAAATTAGCTAGGAGGTCAGTTCTTGCAATTTCCCAGAGCTCTTTAAACCCACCTTGATACCATCCTTGGTCCCAGTCTTGCATCAGTACGCTGGAACCAGTACACAAAGAGCACCGTGCAGGACTTAAGACATGACTGAACTAGTTAATTAGGGACCTGTGTGGGCTTGACAGATGCATACTTTCTTCCCAGAAACATGAAGGTAGGTTTGGGATACTATGTTTCCAGGCAATTGAGGCTATATTAGGTTTTAATTTCTTCTGGATAGCTGTTACCATCCCTAGAAGAGCATCCAATTGCAGAGGGCTTAAGTGAACAGGCAGCTTGAGCCAAGATACCAACTTAAAGGTGGTCTTAAAGTGTAAGTTACAAAATGTCTCAAAAGAGAAGTCTGGCAAATCTTGTTCAGCCCTAGCTGTGCTGCCAGACTACACCAGAACAGGCCACAGGCCCACCAAAGCTTAATGGCTACTTCCACTACCCAGAGTCCCTGCTCACCCTACCTCGGCTCCCCCCGCTCCAAGCTAGGCATAACAAATTCGGTAACTTTGGCAAAATGCCTCAAAAATGCAAGCCATAATCCTGTGACTCATCCGCATTTACAGCTTTGTATT